ATAATAGAAAAGACAGAGAAAACAATGAAATGTGTTAGCCCTTCTCCTTCTAAGCATGCTCAATGAAAGGGTTTGGCATCTGCTGTGCTGAATCCTCTGGGCATGAATACTACATTCTGACCACTGGGAAATTGGTGAGCTATATAAGAAAATAATTGTCTTTCTTTGTCGCAGCTATTTGGTGACCCAGAGTCCTAGAGACTCTGACTTAGTGCTTTGACTAGGATATAGAGATATTTGGACAACTCATGAAACCACTGACCTCCCAGCTTCAATGCTGGGCTTTGGGATCATTTCATGATATTCTCTGGGAAGGAAGAAGTCAAGCTTAACACACATGCCAGTGCACTCCCAAGGTAGACCGGATAGTTGGGGAGGTAGAAGATGTGAAGCAGAGGGTTACAGTCTTTGGAAAACACTGGCAATGAAAATCACCCAGACTATTGTCTCTACTTACCCAACCCATTCTGCTGGTGATGAAAACTGTATAAAAATGAGCTCAGCAGAAAGTTTCCTACTTTTTCCTCATCTAGAAATAAAGAATACACAAATAGCTGAGGCTACTGGGGGTGGGGGGCTGATAATTGGACAATACCTCACTTTGGATTAAATTTATTTTCCTAAATCCCGTATCACATTTAAAATTCCCTCACTCTACCTAAACAAAATTGTCCAGAGTCCTTTATAAAGTTCTCTCGCTCTCTACACAGATGACATCTGACCTTTGCCCTCCTATATGCCAGGTGCTTCTGTTTTTCCTCTGAACTGCCCCCTCCCACCCCCATCTGCTACTGCCCCCAAGGGAAGGTCCTGCAACCACCTGAAGCCACTCTGGTCACTGGCTCTGAGGTTTGTCCGCAGGAATTGCAATTCCTCCAATGCTGTGGCGCATGGCTGTGCTTCCTCCCTAAGAATGCTTGAGCTGTTTACTCACAGATGTCTCTGGTAACTGCAAGCTAAACAGCAAACTCAGCTGCCCTGAACCACTGAGGGAAGACTGTGGGGCTTGTGGCTCCACAATCCCTTGCATAAATGAATCAGGAAGGAGGGAGCGGCTATTTACAGTGAAGAAGGGGCCCCTGTAAATATACCCTCCATAATAAGTATGTAGAAGAAAGGAAAGGGAAAACTGACAGTGGGGTTTTACCAACCTCTGCCTAGGACATAACATAGTTCTCTTATTTTCACGGGAAGGACAGGCTGTGATCAGCATGTTATAGGGGGGATTACACAGAGCTCAAGGGCAGCTGAAGTTCATGTATGCAAAGGCAGTGGAGGTGTATTTCTAGAAGGAAGGCTCGGTGTTCACATAGAAAAAGGAGCCTCAGTGGCCCCTTAAGACAGGTCCAAGAGTCTGGAGGTAAAGGGAACACACCTGAGTCTCCACACAACTTCAATGAAGCTCTATGCTGGAATTTCCCTCAGCTCAGAAAGCTGTGTATCTGGGATTGTTAAATTACAAAGATGCCACACTATCTTTTAGGAAATCTCTTTTCTTTGCTCTGAATTGCTTTTTTGTGATTTTCTTCCTCCTCCTTCTCACACTGCGGGCTGAGACACTAATTCATAGCTCTTGATTTACTGTAAAACTCTTTCGCATAGGAAGAGATGTATGTGCGCATGCACACATGCATTCAGGCATATGAATATGCCCAAGAAACAATATAGAAATGGTACAATAAGAATGATAGGAGGACACTTAGAGATGTGTCCACTGAGGAAGATTTTTGAAATAGTTTGTTGATATCAGATACTGTGCCAAGCATAAGAGAAATTCTTGCACCTAATCCTGACATCAACTAAACGAGCCAAGTATTATGCTTATTTAAGATGTGGAAACTGAGGCAGCAGCAGAGAAGCAAATACATGACTCTTGTGTCACAATTTCAGTTGGTTTACAAAATAAAATGAAAAGTGCTTAAGTTAAAAACAAAACTAGTTCCCCCTTCATCTTCATTATTAGTGTCGTGTTAGAAGTACTAAGACTCCCTGATCTTCCCAATGTGACAGGGCTTTGCCCAGGAGGCAATGTCCCCAGAATTGATGAGGCTTGATTATGGGGAGCATTTCCTTGGGCCAAGTCTTGGCAGACAGCTGGCAAAATTCACTGGTTGTGTTCCTGACTTTGATTTTCTTTTGACCAAGAAAGAATTGGAAGATTATAAAACCACAGATATGGACCAGCTCTAGAGAATCTTGGGGGAGAATTAATGATTTTCAAATATTAGAATGTCCTTTGATTTGGGTACTTTTTAGTTCACAAAGATGAAACTTTTTCTCTTGATTAAAAAGATTTTCCAGTCAGTCCATCAGGGGACAAGTTCATTGGCTTGATTCTGGGGATACTTTCTGGATCCTGGTCTATGTGTAGACAAGTGCAGAGAGGTAGACACTCTCAGATAGCAGGGCAGCTGACTGGCAGCCACACCGAGCTGTGTTGATGTGCATGTTCCAGGAGGAAGCAAGATGGACAGGTCCCTCTCCAGTCCTGAGAGCAGAGGGTGGAAGAACTCCTGATTCCTTACCTCCAGATGTCAAGGCAGATAGACTAGGGAGGACACAGGGAAACCATCAGAACAGGTAAAAACACAGCTGAAGGAGGTGGACCCCAGACACTGAAAGAAGTCGGAAAGCACCAATGCAGTGAACTGAGGAAAAGATGCACCCCAGAATTTACAATGAAACTCTCACCCGCTGTTTTAGTCAGGTTTTTGTTTTGTTTTGTTTGTCTCTATGAGCAAAGAACAAGAACAATTAGAGAAGGAAAAGTTTATTTGGGGGCTCACAGTTTCAGAGATCTCAGCCCATAGATGGCCAACTTCATTCCTCCTGGCCTAAGGGGAGGAGGAATGAACATCACAGCAGAAGAGTGTGGTGGAGGGAAGCAGCATCATATCAGGAAGCAAAGACTCCACTCACCAGACAGAAAATATTCACCCCAAAGGCACACTCCCAATGCCCACCTTTTCCTGCACACTCTACCTGCGGTCAGTCACCACACAGTTAGTCCCCATGAGGGGATTAATTCACTGATTGGGTTAAAGCTGTCATAACCCAATCATTTCACCTCTGAGTGTTCTTGCATTGTCTCACACATGAACTTTTGGGGAACACCTGCTATCTAAACTATAACACCCACCAATGCAAATCATTAAGGCTGAAGAACAACAAAATGTCTTCTAACAAATGTAATGAAGAGAATGATTTACTAATGCAAATTTACACTCTCTTCAATGTCCCCCTTTGACAGGTATTTCCTACCCAAATGTTGAGATAAATGGCCAGGTGCTTTCTTTGTTTATTTTTAATTCGTTATACATGACAGTAGAATGCATTTTTAAATTTTTTAAATTCTAATTTGTAATATATGACAACAGAATGCATTACAATTCATATTATACATATAGAACACAATTTTTCATGCCTCTGTACACAAAGTAGAGTCACACCATTAGTGTCCTCATACATGTACTTAGGGTAATAATGTCCATCTCATTCCACATTTTTCCTGCCCCTATGCCCCTTCCCTTCCCCTCCCTCCCCTTTGCTCTGTCCAGAGTTCCTCTAATCCTCCCATGCTCCCCCCACCAGCCCCATTATGAACCAGCATCCTTATATCAGAGAAAAGATTTGGCATTTGGTTTTTGGGGATTGTCTAACTACGCTTAGCATTGTATTCTCCAACTCCATCCGTTTGCCTGCAAATACCATGATTTTATAGAATGAATTTTGACACATTGTACACAAATGGAGCCCAACTTCTCATTTCTCTGGCTGTATAGGTGCACAAACTGGCAAAAGTCAATTCTGAGACTCAGAGCCTCCTGCAAGGCAACAGCTTCCATCTTCCAGGAAGAGTGGGGCTGCCCAGGAACAGCGAGGCTGGAGGAGGCAGGAGAAAAGGGTTAGTCTGTGAGCTCTATGGCTGGTCACTGACTCTCTGAGGGATACTCTTCCCTGTGGACGGTCCCTGAGACATCTATGGGTCGTCCATTCCCCGCTCGGAATATCTTTCCTTTGTTCCATCCACCTCCTAAATTCCAGCATCAGGAGTCAGCTCAAAACCACAAATTCTGAAAGGGCCACCTAGGTGACTCCCACCCAACATCCCTCTCTTTTGTCACATTTGATGGAGTTCTGCTAGTTCCTAGCCTCAACTCCCTGCATCAGGGTATGGGTAGCATTAGGGGTGCACATTCAGGTTTCCGCTTCATCTTCATTATCAGTGTCAGGTTAGAAGTAAATACTAAGATTCCCTGATCTTCACGATGTGCCCAGGAGGCTGACGTCCCTAGAATTGATGAGACTGAGGACGAAGAGGGAAACCTAATTTAACAAAATTTTGGCTTGATTATGGGGAGCATTTCCTCGGGCCAAGTCTTGGCAGGCAGCCGGCAAAGTTCACAGGTCGCATTCCTGACCCGCGTCTCCAGTTCCCCGCCCGCGAGAGGCCGCTGGAGCCGCCCTCAGCGCAGGTGACAGGAGCCCGGCGGCTCTGCTCCGCCGCCTAGAGCCTGGAAACTGTCATTGCGCCCAGGGACCCTCGAGCTGAGCAGCAGGAGCCGACCCCGTACGTAGGGGCCGGCGGGCGCACTACACTGGCAGTCTGAGGGTGGTGTCTGAACTCAGATGCTCCCTGTCTTTTCCTTGGCCTGGGTGACAGGCTCGCGCTGCACGGCTCAGGGAGTCCCGGGTTGCCCCGCCCAGCCGCCCGCGCCCTGCTTGGTGCGTGCAGAGTCCCCGCCCCCAGTCCCCACCCCCCGTAGCCTTAGGGGGGCACCCCCATTGGGGCTGGAGGGTGGTCCGTCGTGCCCTGGTCGCCGAGTGGCGAGAGGTGACGGTAAGCTCCTTCCGATTTCCGCCCGCCTGGCAGCGCTGAGGGGTAGTGCCAGTCGGGAGGCGCTCGGTCCTCCCTCGGCCCGCCCGCCCGCGAGGGGGGCCGGCCCTGCTTTGCCAGCGCCTTTTTTCCCCCCGCACCGCGGCGCCGCTCCGCCACTTGGGCACCTCAGGGAGGGCAGGAGGCTGGAGCGCCTGCTGCCCGCCCGCCCGTAAAATGGTCACCTCGGCTGGACAGCTCGCCCTGTTCGCGCTCGGTAAGTACACTGCCTGCTGCTCGTCGTGCGCCCTCTGCGACACCCCGCTTCCCCCGTCCCTTCCTTTTCATTTTTTTTTTTTTCTGGGGGATTTCTGTGCAGGCAGGAGAGTTGGGGGTGGCTAATGCTTTTAATGGGTTGGAGCCTGGGAGGCAAAGGGAGACGCTAAGAATTACAAAGAGAGGGACTGTCAAGCGCCCGGGCTTTCCCTGGGTAGTGGCCGCCTGGGCGGTGCGTGAGAACGCCAGGGAAGGGGAAGCGGTGTGTGAACGGGTTTGAACTTTAATCCGCCGCGGCTGTGTGTCTGCTCGTACACAAGCCCACACCTACTGCTTACCTGGCTGCCTCCAAACCGGTCTTCACCGGCGTTGGTGGCGTGTAGGCTCTGAGCCGCTTTGGAGCCGGGGGTGGGCGTCCGACCCTCTCTGGCTGGCCTTTGCTTGGTATCTTGTACCCCCTGCCTACCCTTGAGCCCCAGACGGACAGAAGTTCAGGGTCCCCTTAGGCGCCCTCAATCTTCTAACTTTAAGAGCTCTTGAGCTTTGGGGTAGGTTTTGGATTTTTGTGCGGATTAGTTTTTCTTTTAATTAACTTCCTTGGAAGAAGTGGTTTCAGTGTCAGTCGAGGGCAGGAGTGAAACCCTAAGCAGAGCGTTGCCAGTTTCCTTTGAGTTTGTTCTTGGAAATGAATGAGGGGTGGAGGAGGGGAGGGGAAGTTAAACCGCGCACACCTGGGGTTGGTCTGGGTGGCCCGTGCGCTTTTCTACCATGAAGTTCATAGGTATGTCCGTACGTGGTCAGGAGCTCAGGGGTGCACGCTATCTGGGACTCTTGCCCCTAGTGGTATTGGGTCTCTCAGGTGTTAGCTGATTGATGATCAGTCCAGGTGTCCCGGTTACCGCTGCAGCCTTCAGTGGAAGGAATTGTAGCTATCTCCTGAGTCTCACCTTGCAAAGCAAGTTGCTGGCTACATCGCTATAGGACCATTAAAGTCTGAAGAAAGCTTTAGAACACACTCCGCAATGCCCAGAGCTGCGACTTCATCCAGTTAGTGTAGGATTGCAGGGGGTTCATGGAACAACCTGCAGTACTGTCCTTGATACCGTGATTAAGGGTGATGAAGAATCGCAGCAGCAGGGAACTCATCCTCTAGGGGAAAATATGGGGCAGTCCTGGAAGGAGATGCTCTCTGCATCCTCGCCTAAAACTCACCAACAGGTGATATGATTATAGGCAGCTTTTCACCTCCTTCCTAAGAGCTCCCCCTTTTGCATTTTGTATTATGTATTGTGTATTGACTTGTTTCAGTTCAAAAAAAATTTTTAAAGCAGTGAAACATTGCAGATAAGTGGAAGCCTCTTGGATAGATTCCCTGTTCTGAGGTGGTGTTGTGGGTTTTTTTTTTTTTTTTTTTTTGCAAATAATAGTAGTAATAATAGCTAACACTATGTGAGTGCTTACTGTGTCAGGCACACTACTAGTTTATTAACTCATTTAGTTTTCACACCCATCTGATTATCATTCCCATTTTCTCCAGGAGGGAAGAAAAGCCCACAGGGCCCACAGTAAGTAGTTGGACCAGGATTATAAGAATGTGGAAGAAATGCGAATAAGGAAATGTCACTTTACTTGTGGTCAGAATGGTACCAATCTCTCAGGAGTGGGATTTTGCTTTAAGGAGAGATTGGGTAGAATACCCTGGAACTTTCTTTGCTATTAAGTCAGGTTTCCATTGAACTCCTAGAACCTCAAGGTGGTTATTCGGTGAAAATTTAGAGACAGAAAATGATGAAGGCAAACAAATTTGAGGAAGTCTTTGAAAGTTTTCTGCCCCTACCCACAACCTCCATCATAGCACACTCATAGCAAAGACGTGAAATTTTTCTCTTTTGTCTAAGAATGTTCTCTCCAACTTGGTCTTTGTTTCCTGCCTTAAGAAAAAGATGTATAAACATAAAAAAAATTGATCAATATGTAAAAGCTGGCTCATACACTTCCAAAATGTGAGCAGTTGAAAAAAAGTAGAAAAAAAAAACAGTAGTAATTTACACCACTAAAGACTCCTTTTTATTTATATTTCTTTAAAAGAAAAATCAGAGCTGTCAGTTCTGTGCATTTACTAGAACTGCTGCCTCCCACATGCATCTTTAATTTGCCATGTTTCCTCCAAAGCTGCTTTCCTCTCTAATTTTTCTTAAATTAGTTAAAGGCAGTTCCAGGCAAATCAGTCTGTTCCATTGCTAAGCAAGATCTAGAAAACCTTCCTGGCTGGGGACAGTCTGAGAAGGGCTATTAGGAGTCTGAGCCAATGCTTGATTACTTGGAACCTGAATGCTGCTGATTAATGCTTTGAGTGACAGAGTGTGGAGACTGTTGCCCAAATGGCAACTTTGGAAACATAACTCAGGTTCCCATAGGGGCTGCCATCCCATGTAGGGTTTCCATTGCTGGCAGACACACACCACAGGGTCTTGGCACTTCCAGTTGCACGTCCTCCTCAGTGTCCAGGGAACAAGATGTAGTCTTCAGCAAGATGCTTAGCTAATCTGTGCCTTGTTTTTCTCCTCTGTAAAATGGGGATGTTGAGAATTATCGGATATATTGAATATATTTAGAATGGTACTGGCTTGTAGTAGGAGCTTTTCAATCTTAATGCCAATTCACCGCCGTGTTGTTGTTGTTACTTGGTACCCTGTAGAATTCTAGGCAGCATTGCAAGTTACGTGGGTTCTATAACTGGAAGAGTTTGTCCATTTTAACTACCTCAGCTCCCTGCTCCTCACCATTTCTAGGCCAGAAAAATACCACCCAACCTGAAAAGCTACCTAGGTGATTTCTGGTGGATATCAATTGGTAGAAGTCAAACTCGAGCCAGTTTAGGAGTTCTTTGGGAGAGATGTCATGAGCTCTTTAATTTTTGATGTGAAGCATTTGTGCCTCCCTTTTAATATTCAATGATCACTTGTTTATTCAGGACAGCACCAAGTTCCATTTTTCTCATCTGTAAAGTGGGAATAATAAAACTGTACCCACCTCACAGGTTGTTAGGAGAATCAAATGAGATGATAAATATGGAAGCTATTTATAAATTATAAAGGCTACACACAAAATGAAATTGATTTTATGATACAGAAATGAGGTTATAACCCAAGATAAACATTTTTATAGCAGTTCTCATCAATGAGAACTGGAGGTAGAACTGGAGGCTGTTAGAAGATGCCAAGGGCGGGCGGAGGTGGAATAGGTCACCTTCCTTTTGGAATTTAGGACTGAGGGATCAGTAGAGGGACTGAAGTAAGATGTTTCTTTTCTCCATTACATGGAAATGTCATCTTTCAGAGTAGACCTTGAAGGTTTGCCTAGGACACATGTTTTCCATACTGGGCAGTCATAATTAGGGAGTGTTCACTTAGAATGTGGCTGTAAAGGGGTATATAGAAGACTTCAAGGCTGAATTTCCCCTATTTGCTTTTCCAGAATTTGGTTTCCTCAGGATAAAGTGATCTTTCTGTAAATAATGTCCCCTGCAAAGGGGACTTTTCTTTCAGGAGCAAATGATGCTTCGTGTTACTGTTACTGTGGTAACATATGAAAAATAGATGACTTTTTCATTGGACCTATCTCCAAGGACCTTTTCAAAGTGTGTTTTGAACAAGGTCCTAGTCTGTGCACTGCCACGAACAGGCACTGGCTCAGCCAAAATGAGAATGGCTTGTACATATGGAATTAGGCATCTTCTGTTTGGTTTCACACTCGAACCTTCCACAGTATCTTCTATAGCAGTACCCTTAAATCAGAATCACCTAGAGGGCTGGTAAGCACAGGTTGCTGGGCCCCAACCCAGTGTTTCTGATTCTGTAGGTGGGAGAGTTTGCATGCCCAACAAGTTCCCAGGTGTGGCTGATGCAACTGGTAGGGAAGAGGCGGGTGGGACACTTCAAGAACCACTGCTCCTCAATCAACTGCCATTGGGGAACATTCTGGCTTCAATTGCTTTGTAAAGTACATTCTGACATTTGTAAATACTGCTGTGGGTTTATGAACCATTATTCAATGTACTTCGAAGGTCTGTCTTGCTGACCAGGGCAGAGTTAGAATTCTTGCTGAGATCTCTTAATTGTTATAAGTGTGCTTGTACTTTATCCGTGTAAGTTACACCCACTGGTCCTGTGTTATTAAAGTCACCAGCATTAATCATGTTACTTATTTTATTATTATCACTATTATTTGGTACCAGGGATTGAACCCAGAAGTGCTTAACCACTAAGCCACATCCCCAACCTCTTTTTTATTTATTTATTTATTTTATTTTGAGACAGGTTCTCTCCAAGTTGTTTAGAGCCTTGCTAAGTTGCTGAGGCTGGCTTTGAACTTGTGATCCTCCTGCCTTGGCCTCCTGATTATTATTTTTTTGATTGCCCCAAAGTTGACCATTGTTTTTGCCACCATTTCGAATATTTTTGATCACCTAATTTTAATTCTATCCTATATTTAAGGTTGTTTCTAGATGAAGGAGGATGGGGAGTTTTATAGTGGTTTTGGCTAGCTTTTTTAATGTTCCTTATCAAATGGGAAATACAGAAATCTTTCAGAGAATCAGGAAAGCCAGAAATCTAGGCTATCAGAACCCTCTCTCAGGAGTTGTTCAATTGCAAGGCACATTCCCTTCGGGCCACCTCTAAAAATCTGGGTCAATTCTTTTCAAGCATTATGAGTTTATTGTATTGAAGATGACTTTAAAAATAAATAGTTATTACCTAGGCTTAGAAAGAGTTGGAAGTTTATTGAAATGGAGCTTGATGTCTTTTACAAGTGGTTTGTCTTAAGTCGGAGGAGACAATTTTTGCCTGCAGAGTTCCTCCCCTACTTGGTGTATTCTGTGATCTTGCATTTAATTTTTTTCTTGTCCTCTTTCTTACCTCAAGACCTTTTGTCTTCCTCACCTGTTTACACTCTTCAAGTACTTGAGGAAGGCTAGGATTTCCTTAATGGCTCAGACCT